ACAAGTGTAAAACGCAAACGTCAGTTGGCCTTTGAACATGAAAAGCGCAGTAATGTATGCTGTTGTTCGAGTTCTTGATGATCTTGTCTGACATTTTTTTGACAAGCTGATCGAAATGTACGAATCAATGTGCTTTTTTAGTGTGGACCTACCGCGAACAGTGTGTGCATTTTACCTTGTCTGACATTTCTTGTAGAGGATCGAAATGCACCAATCATAGAAAGACAATTTTAATTGCATGTTTTCTTTATTTTATGTCCATTTTCTTGTCCTTATTTTGTGGTTGGTCTATTTTAGTAGGTCGATTGAATAATCCAATAGTTGCGGCCGCAATTGGCAATTAGCAGGGTTACTTTATAAAAACCGTGGTAAAAAATTCTTCACAACGTAACCTCGTTAGAAGAGTTTAACCAAGGTTAATTTTTATCAGCGGCCGGACTCAATTTAGACTTTCACATAGTCATTCAATGTCGCGCGGGCTTTTGTTTTTTTTTTAGTTCGCCTACGAGTGACTGACAAATTTTATTATTATTCATTTATTTATTTATTTACAAGTAACGCAACAGACGGACCATCCGAACTGTTCGAGAGATCCTTGATGTCACGCGTGACATGTGAAGCCATACATTTACTGTATTTCGTAACGCCCACACTCGGCTTGATTCAAATGATCGGTAGAAATGCTTCATAAAACACAGAATTCTGCACCTTTTGATCCCAAATGTTGATACAATGTAAGAAACATCAATGAAGATAACTTCCCGTATGTTTTTTGTCTTCCGTTCTTCGTTTTTGTGCCGCTTTCAGTCGCTTAAAACTGACACCCCCGACTGTATACAACCAAGAGTTCTTAAAACCAACGGTCTTACGACAAGTGGTTCTTAAAAAAGGGTCTTACAACCAGAGGTTCTTACAACCAGCGGTTCCGACAACCAGGGATTCTTAAAACCAGGGGTCTTAACACCAGGGGTTCTTACAACAAGTGGTCTTACAACCAGGGGTCTTACAACCAGGGGTTCTTAATACCAGCGGTTCTTACAAGCAGGGTTCTTACAACCAGGGGTTCTTATAACCAGGGGTCTTACAACCAGGGGTTCTTACAACGAGGGGTTCTTACAACCAGGGGTCTTGCAACCAGGGGTTCTTAGAACTAGAGTCTTATAACCAGGGGTCTTACAACCAGGGGTTCTTACAACCAGGGGTTCTTACAACCAGGGGTTCTTACAACCAGGGGTTCTTACAACCAGGGGTCTTACAAGCAGGCGTTCTTACAACCAGGGGCTCTTACAACAAAGGGTCTTACAACCAGAGATTCTTACAACCAGTGGTTCTTACAACCAGGGGTCTTACAACCAGGGGTTCTTACAATCAGGGGTTCTTACAACCAAGGTTTTACAACCAGGGGTCTTACAACAAGGGGTTCTTACAACCAGAGGTCTTACAACCAGGGGTTCTCACAACCAGGGGTCTTCAACCAGGGGTCTGACAACCAGGGGTTCTTACAACCAGAGGTCTTACAACAAGGGGTTCTTACAACCAGGGGTCTTACAACCAGGGGTTCTTACAA